TAATATAATAAAATAAAATATAATAAAATTAAATATAATAAACTAACTTTTTCGAGGCGAATCACTTTGTCCTCCAGTTGTTGAACTTTCTTACATTTTTCTTCTAGTTGTAATTGTAGATTAATTGAATCAACATTGTTTTCATAAGTATATACCATAAGTTTAGATTCAACATCTTGGAGTTGTCGATGTAAGTTCTTGTTTTCTCTGTCTTTTGCATCTAGTACACTTTCCAGAATGTCAGGTGTTAAGATAATCTGAACAGCAACATAGATTTTAAAACTCTTTCAATCTTTAATATTGGAACACGCACAAGTTACATTTTATATCTTGCTTATAAAATGTAAAGCTTAGCGAACAGGTGCAATAAAAGCAACTATTATATTTATAATTTTTATGCTGCAACATGATTGCCTCTAAATTAATTCTATAGGAATCAGTACTCAGAAATTAATCCAAAAACTCATTAAATATTATTTATCTGCATAATTATGAAAAACGCACTTACATTGCAATCTTGATCAAAAACTAGGGGATAAGTAATAACTTGATTCGTTTGTTTAGCATGTTCCTTAAGTTTTTCACAAAAACATTGAAGTCTAGAAACATATTTTTTTATAGTATCGTCCTTTATTGATAATTCTGTTGTAAGATCTGCTATGTTTTCTTCCAGTTCCAACTGAGATCTGGAAAATGTGTTTATATGTTAAAAAAAGATATAAATACGAATATAAAAACTTAATAACAAAAATAAAAAATATTCAAATATATATATATATAAAATTATATTTTTATTTATACAAGTATGAAGATTTAAAGTAAAAATAATCAACTGTTATATCACGAATATTTAAAAAATAATAACATATATATATATATAAAATTTGCATATCTTACCTAATCATTTTTTTTTCATTTTTCTGAAGTTGTTCTATTTGCAGATTCAAGGATTTTATATGATCAGTATCTGTCTGCTCCTAATTTGAAAATATGATTAAATGTAATACTAAAATAATAATTAAGATTTTTCGAAAATATAATACTTCAGAAAATGGGGCTACTGGCAATTTATTTAACACGAATATATGCATATATGTGTCTGTGTATATGATAATAATTCAATTTAATAAAGGTGTAGGGAGCTAAGAAGAACTTTTTGGCTTGTATTATGAATACATGGTGTATATTACATGCTTTTGCTTAACAAACAATTTGATCTCTGAAATTTGTCATGCTCTATGTCTAAAACAAATCGGAGCTTTCTGGTTGCATTTACACACATATTTACCTGATTGCAGATACAGCTGAAACAGTACAAAAAATTTTGTCATTAAATACTTTACAATGCAAGATATAATGCAAAATATTAATATAAATATACATGTTAACTCTTCACATGGTCCAACATCTTTGTCACTACTTTCCAACAAGAGCATTAGTACCTTATCATATTTTTTAAAAGAGTTTTTGGATTCTAAAAAATTGTAATACATCCTTTCAACATTCAAGAATACAATTTTACAATATGATCCTAAATTTTTTTGTATGTGTTCAAATTTGAGACAGAATAATTCAAAATTTAAAATTCTGGATCTTCAAATCTCTGGCTGGACCACAGAAGATTTGATAACATAATTGATAACATAATTAACTTACTCTGGAACTGGAATATCCTCAGGTTGAATCTCAAAAAACTTGATACCATCAAGACTCCAAACATTTTGCTGATGTGCACGACGAATCACCTCCAATAATCCTCTAATATCACTTTGTAGATATTCTATTTTTTGTTGTAAATATTCCTCGTCCTTTTCTAGCTGACTGACGCGATTTGAAAGAGTATTTAAAGCCTATAACATAGAGATGATACGTCTTGATTTCATGATGAGATTACTAAACAAAATTAGATGATCTCTCTTGCCTTTTCCGAATGATCAGATCTTGTTAAATTATCCACAACTATTTGCGACGATTGTTTTAGTTTCTCCTCTAGTAACTTAACTCTACTACACGCAGCCTGTTCCAAATCTTCCACTGTATGCACTAACATCGCATTTTGCTCCCCTAAATCTTTGATCCAGTCGCTCATCACTTGTAACTTCATCTGCAAAGAAATTTTTTGATAAACTATTTCAAACACAAATAAAAAAATAATTAATAAGTGGCAAAAGAATTTTAAAGAGTATACATAAAAAGTACAAACAAAATTGGCAATAAATGCAAACTGATAACAAAGCTATTGCTTACAGAGACTCGGTCGGAATCACCGATAGATTCCCGATCGATCTTTTCGATGCGGGTCTCGTACAATTTGCGGAACTCATCGAGAATACGTAGACCCTCGGTCTCGCCATCGACTGTTCTACAGTCCGGATCTCGCTTAACTAATGTTGGGACGTCACTCACGTCCATAGAACTTGGCAAACTGGAGCTGATCGAGTGCATTGTTTTCCGCGAGCACGATTCCCGAGCGATCACTGACTGACGGATTTAAGGTTTCCCTACACCTGGGTTCGACGAGAACTCGAGCCAATGTCAACACACTATCTCGCCATTTTAGCGATCGCAACGTCGTCCATGAGTGACAGACGTATTGAGAGTGGTACTCCGGTGTTTACCCTGAAGTATTTGCTAGAGATCCATGATATAGGAACTCTAGTGAAAACAACTGGTAACAGCGGAGCATTCATAATAAATAGTTTCTGATTGGCGGCCACATGTGCATCCATATGAGAAGTTGAGAACGCCTTTTTCTTACATCATAAGGTCGATTGTGTGTCTTGAAACGAAATAAAAATTACAAAGCAAATTCATTGAATAATAAAATTAATATTTGAGTGAATTTGCTCACTTTTATAATTTTCACCTCATTTCAAGATATATTCCACCATAATCAATTCCCATGTTTGAATCTATATACTTTAAAAGGAACAGAAAAAACCATATGATATTAAAAATAAAATGATCACAGATTAGGACAACGAATAATCAGAAATATAATAATTGTAACATATAACTAGAAATTTCCTTTAATAATTGATGCCGATTAATAATGCATACGTTTGCGCGACTGGGATGCAGGCTGAACGGAGAACGGCGCATGTTCGAGATTCGGCTCGTCTTCCCTTCTACTATGGTTCGTCCAGCAGTTCGTGGAGCGCGTTCGCGGGGTACGGGTGGGTACGGGGTACTCGGAGTGCGAGCCGGATAGACGCGCGACGAGGATGGGATTGCCGTGCAATGACAATGAATCGCGTTGCGAGTCGCGTCCGCGACCGATCGCGTAGCTTAGGTGTGATCGTAGAATCGAAAATAAAGTCGGTCGGCGTGAAGGCACTGAGGCATTACTGTCTCGTTCTCTGACGAACATCGGTCCTCCCTAAAGAGAAAAAAAGAGAAAAAAAGAGAAGGAGAGAGAGAGAGTGAGAGGGAAAGAAAAGAGAAAGAGAGGGAGTGAAAGAGGGAGTCCTCTCCTCCTCTTGGCGGAGAAACGAGACGCAAGGAGGTCCCCGTCGCGCGAGCTGCTTTTTTTGGCGAGCGTCGCCGACATGAGCCAGACGAGCCGTGGACGAGCGAGTCGCGTCACCAGTCGCACGAACTGCCCTGTCAGCTGATCGTTTATCGCACAACGAAATGTGAGGTGTTACCTATTTATCTACCTGTCTTTCAACCTACATAACGTCAAGTCAGAACGTCATACTGCTTTCGCGCATCGCGGCTCCGATTCACGTCGCCCACGTTTCTCCCCGCGTGCAAACTGAGACTGCGAGCGCGATCGCGCCGCGCCAAGTGCGACAGGCGGGAAGCACAGGAGCACTTGGTACCGGTTAGAATTTACATGGGAACATGGGGAACAAAAATAGCTGTTGCGTCTACTCCAGTCCACAGGTCGGACGCAAAGAGGTGGGGCCTGAGAGCACCACGCGCAACTTGGAGGAACACCTGCCAGAGGGTGGGATTAGCGTTAATAATTTGCAACATATCAGTGAACGTGAGCCGGAGGACTGTGACTCTGATCCGTCATTGCATCCATGTGCAGGAACTATCTTCATGGAGCGTTCCAAGCAAGCTATTGAGAGTGAGTATATCTTGAAGGTTGACAGGAAAGATATTTGACTTATGATATTTGATACAATCATTCCTAGTCTCTCCTTTTTTAGATGGCATGGTGAGGAAAAAGAGTCAACATCAAATAGCAGATACAAGGCCTTTGAAGAAAAGTAGTAGCTGCAGTACAATATATTTAGATGACAGCACGGTTTCACAACCTAACTTAAAAAATACCGTCAAATGCGTTGCCTTAGCCGTTTATTACCATATTAAGAATAGAACTTCGCAGCGACAGATTGATATATTTGATGAGAAACTGCATCCATTAACGGTAATATATCAAATTGTACAAGAAGTTGTCAAGGGATTATTGGTGCTTTTTAGTAAGAGATACAGATATAACACAATGATCGTTTCATCTTTGTTTAAGGCTAATATATTCATGTGTTGTATGACAAACTTTTTAAACAAATTGCTTGGCCATAAGAAAGATTTAAGAACCTCTCTGTTTTATAATCAAACAACCAATCAACAGGTTTGAAAAATTTTATCCTATGACATATAAAATATTAGATTAACATTGGCAAACAACAAGATAAATCTCACTGTGTTACACTGTGTCATTTGCTGTAAAAACATCTAATATATTAATTGCTTTCCTAGATCAGTGATCTATTTCTATTGTTTCTATATGTTTCTATCTTTATATTTTTGTATACTTACTCATTTAATGTCAACTACATGATTAGACAAAAAAAAAGTCTTAAGATTTTCTTGTGCAAAAGATGCAGTTATAAGGCAATGCTTGAGTAAATCTATTTTTCAGAGGGATGGTGTTTCAGAGGATTACGACAAACATAATCCAGAGCACAAGCAGATATATAAATTTATAAGAACTCTGTTTAATGCCGCTCAGCTTACTGCTGAATGTGCCATCATAACGTTGGTTTATCTTGAACGCCTACTTACTTATGCAGAAATAGACATAACACCGGCCAACTGGAAACGTATAGTACTGGGAGCTATTTTATTGGCGTCCAAAGTTTGGGACGATCAGGCGGTGTGGAATGTAGATTACTGTCAAATACTAAAAGACATCACGGTGGAAGATATGTAAGTCTATTTTCAATTACGTTTAGATTATTGTATTTGCTATTTTGTGAAAATAATTATTGTAATTTCTTTAATTAGGAACGAATTAGAGAGACAGTTTCTGGAGATGCTGCAATTTAATATAAATGTTCCTTCGAGTGTGTATGCCAAATATTATTTCGATCTTCGTACACTCGCGGAAGCGAACGAATTAACATTCCCTAGCGAACCACTTAGTAAAGAAAAGGCGCAGAAGTTGGAAGCTATGTCCAGAGTTTACGAAGATAAGGTCACGGCTGAAGCTCTACGTACCGGTATTAAAAAGTGGTCCAGCTTAGACAATGTATGCATAGGCGGACCTAGACGTAGCATTGCTATTTTATCCTAAACATATGTATGGATATAAACGGATGTAAACACAGACGCAAGGTTACTACTCCGATTTTAAATGGAGGTATGTGAAATTTTGTAAAGATATCATTGTTACCGATCGATTTTAATGATTTTTGAAAGAGATTGTTTGGATTCTACCAAACATTTGTGTTACACTTCTGTTTAATTATTGTGGAATATTTGATGTATTATATACATCTTTTGGCAAACTGTTTTTACATATTGTCTACTAGATGTAAAAATATCGTATGTATACCGTATATACGGCTAAGATGTACCATAATGGAAGAATTTCCATTGCAAATATGGTTTGCAATAACAATCTTAAACCTAATCGTTATAAATATTATACTTTAAAATTTAGACGTTTCTCAATTCATTATAATTTCCAATAATATATAATTTACATTCTTTTTGTTGTATGCATTAAAAAATCGTAAATCCGATAGAGAAATTTTATATTGACCTTTTTTCTAGAGATATATAATTTCTAATCACTTCTATTAATTTTGTTATATTATTAATTATGAAAAACTATAAATATTAATCTTATTAATTTGTCAATAAATATCGATATATTTTTGTTGATTGTGTGCAAAGACTTCTACTGTCCGGGACCTTATAATGTGGATGTAACAAAGCATACGAGAATGCAAGGCGTATTGAAACAAAGGGTGAGAAAGAAAAAGTTTTTAGTCGTAGCATTATCTGTACTGTCCTTACGGGAGAAAATAACTTGTGATATATATTAGTCAACTATTCATTATCCAAAGCATTTTATATATTGACTGAATTTAATAAGAATCAAAGTTATGGCTGATTTACTAATAACATTCTAAAAAACGAAAATTTATACATGCTTCAAATTAAAAATCGATATTTGTTAATAACGCTACGTAATTTATCGAAATAATCCAATCCGAAATTTACAAGTCAAAGTTGTAATGCATGTCACCTTGATATATATGTCCAATTTATTTTTAAATATATTAATATTTCTTTGATTTGCTATCTTCTCACTGTCATGTACATCGAAGAATTATTATGAGAAAAAAATTATTCAAGATTTAGAAAATGAATCATACATTTTTTTATGTACGAGATCTGTTCTTTATTGATAAATGATCTTTCTAAACTAGTGCACACCACTGCAATAAGTTAAAATGAAACAAATATAGGTTGTTTCATTTCAATTTATTGCACCTGTTATTAGAAAGTTCTTCAATAAAGAACGAGCTTATAATGTACTTTCTTTTGATACATTTCTGTAATATTAGTAGAAAAACCATTCATTGGTTTTTATTGATTTAGAATTATTATTATTAGAATTTTTGAATCAACAAATGTACAGCATAACAATTTATAAAAAAAATTTTTGACGCTTAATTCAATATATCGGATTTGATATAGATGATTTATGTAATTTGAATAATAGTACATAGCAAGAACACCATTTACGATAAATATTATTATAATAGCGTAAATATTAGCAAATCAGCCTTTGTAGCTTATTAAGAATGAAGAGCACGATAAATTAGAGTCTGAATAATTGCTTTTATATGGCGCTACTTCCATGGATTTATAACTTTAGATAATGCGCAAGATAAGGATAAGCCATGATATCAGGGTTGCATCTTTTCTCTCTTATAAAACTACTCAGTCTGGTGTAAGGTTATTTACATTATTAATAATAGAATTTTATTTTAATTAATCTATTCTATCACAATTATTGAAAAGAAAATTAATTCGATATCAAATTCACGTTCTTTTTATAATGCAATACGTATTACTGTTAGATACTTTACAGAGAATATATTGAGTAAATTCAATTTTATTTCGAAATCACAAAGATCGCATTTTTATGGTCATAAAATTGCTATAAAGTATTTAAATCTCACAGCTATGTAAATTCATTTCGTAAAGCTTGCAATTAAATCTTCCAAAGATCATCCAGGAACATGATTACTAAGGAAAAAAAAGAACTTAGAAGTTGTATCATATTCACATTTTATTGTATGAGAAGATGAAATTAAAATACCGTTAATATACTATTAATATAATCGTGTATCATACGTGCTACTAATTGACTTATGTACGATATAATTTAATATTTTGTACCTACCGGTTAGAACTTTAATATAAGATAGTCTTATATTGTATGATACTGGTTACGTCTATAAGAATTAAAGTGTAATCTGAAGTTCCGTTGGATTTTCAGAATGCCGTTGACGAAGAATAATTATGATTTATTATTATTTTTATATTTTATTACATGACAGTCAGAATGTTGTAACAGTCGAATTTATAATAGAAGAACGGCTGTAAAGTCCAATGTATGTAGAAGGAAACGAAATAATGTGCGTTTGTCAGCTTTTAACATATTGTTATGGATATGTATATGCTAGATGATGAGTGTAATGTAACATATTGCAATTTCTGTCCACATTATAATTTTTCATTTTGCCTGTCCAACAAATAAAAATATATTTTTATTGCATTATTATATAAGTAACTACGTACATACACGTTATGTATGCTGCGGAAGTGTTTATACAACTTTACAGAGCAATTAATACACCATGCGATGCCAA